TACTTAATGTATGTATGCTATTAGGACCAACAATTTTTTAAGATAATAATTGACTTTATTATACTGCATTATTCGTCATCCCTCAATGAATCAACATGGGTTTACTTTTTCCCACTTAACTCCATTACTTAAAAAGTTAAGTAACGAAAAAAAAAATTTTTTCTAATGGGTGATTTTAATATGGATCAATTAAGTCACAATAAATTTAAACCTGTTTCTTTATAATTTTACCATCACACTTAACAGCTACATCAAAAACGCTCAGTGATAACAATGAGCGTTTTTGATGTACCTGTTAATATGTTAATAAAACGACGAACTTAGTTTTAAAAACATCAAATGTTTTTAAAATTAAGTTCGTAGATTTATTAACATCATTATCTTTTTTAATGGAGACTTTCTAGTTGATATTAGAAATTTCTTTAATAAAAATACTTTTATTAAACTTTTTGAAGCATTGGTTGTAAGTTTTTAAGTTCGTGAATATGTTATCAATGAGCGTTTTTGATGTAGCTGTTAAGTATGATGGTAAAATTATAAAGAAACAGGTTTAAATTTATTGTGACTTAATTGATCCATATTAAAATCACCCATTAGAAAAAAAAAAATTTTCGTTACTTACCTTTTTAAGTAATGAAAAAGTAAACTCATGTTGATTCATTGAGGGATGGCGATTAATGCAGTATAATAAAGTCAATTACTAAATTTGATTCACAAGGTTTTGTAATTTCAAAAAAAATAAAATCTAAATATATAGAAAAGTAAATCTTAAGATCATTGCAAACTACGTCATCATTTACGTCATCAGATCAGTACGCAGTTTAAATATAAATGTAAGTATAAAAGTGCTCTTATACTTACGTTCTTATTTAAATTACGATTTTTTTAGCCTCAGTAGGATAATGCTCAATATTAAACTTGTTTATGTATATATCAGTTATATTTGTATTGTTTATATATAAATTAGATTCTGTTATACTGTTGCTAAGGGAAAATTATTAAGAGAGCTTAAAAGGCTACAGAGTTCGTCAATGTGGAATGGTAGAGAAGCGATGTTAAGATAAATATAGATAAATACCTCTTAGATAAACAGCGATAAAAATCTGACGAGTTATTCAAAATAAAATTACAAAAGTGTGCATCAATATGGTTACACTTTGCATGGATCCATGAGTTACAAAAATCACATTGGATGGCTCTTTCATTATCAGTTATATCTTTATGGCAAGTGTTGCAGAGAGATTTTTGCCATAACCTTTAGAAAAAGTATATATATATATATATATATATATATATATATATATATATATATATATATATATATATATATATATATATATATATATATATATATATATATATATATATATATATATATGTACATACAGTATTAGTTAATTAAAGTGACTAAAGTGTGAAATAAAAGATAAAAGAAATGCAAAGTAAAAGACTAAATTTAATAATTTAAAACTTGGGTAACCGTTGGCGTGAGTAACCAAAATTTATTTTCATAACAATATAAAGAAATAAGAACTATGATAGAAAGAAGTGATTAACACTAAAGGTAACTAAAAGCTAACAGTTATAAAATTAAACACTCCGAATCAATTAAACTTTGACAAACCACAAACTACTATTAAAAGTAACTATGACAATAAAAAATATCAAATATAAAAAAACTAATAATACTATAATAATAATCTATAATAATAATAATCTTTACTAATAGTAATATAATTACTGTTAACTGTTACCGATAATAATACCATTAACGAAGATACTAAAACAACGATAAATAAAAATAAGTCTATATTAAATAAGTTCATAAGAATATATTATTGAAAATATATGTGATAAATAAAATAAATAGGTATCTAGATATAACTGTGTTAAACAAAATTAATCGCTTAAAAAAACGACTTTTTATGATAAATCTTTTATCATAGTACAGCTAACTTTCATCATAGTCATAGTATTTAACTAGAAACTGAAACTTTTATATACAGAAACTTTTATATCAACTTATACAGAGGTACAAAAAACATTCCCTCTAAGGTATTTAGATTTTTTTTTTAGTATTTGGCGAGGTAAATGCAGTGACAGATCCAGCATTTTTTGGCGTTAGAGATAGCTAACTTCCAGACATGGAGCAAGCTACAAACATTTGTATGTTTATACTTAAATCAAATAATGATGTTTTGCAAAACGTTGAGATTATTGGAGGCTGGGAACAAAAACTCTTGAACTTCATCCCCCCGTTTCCCCCCTGCAAACGTGAGGCGCAATAAGTTGATAAAAAATTTTTTTATCAATTTGTTTATATTATTCTTAACTAGACTTATATTCGCCGATAAATTTTAAGTTTCATACTATTATCTCTCAGCCTTCGAAAATTATGACCATGTTGTTCCCTTCAAATTGAAGGGGAGGATTTAAAACTTTATATGATATAATTTTTGAACACCGAGAGAAAATACTATGAAACTTAAATATGAGAGTTTTTTTCTGTTTCAGAAGCATTCCGAAAAAGAAACTAGTACTAATGTTTTAAAAAGATCCTGGAATTCCAAAAAATGTTTTATAAAATCCACGGTAAAAATTTTTAGTCTTTCCATTAAAAGAATTTTTTTATTAGAGACTAATCTGCAATGATTTACATGGTAGGGGAGAGTTGCCTTAATTGGAACAATTTAGGAATAGATATTTATTGACCAAAGATGGCTAAACTATGATAACATTTATGATTTGATTAATACAAACAAACATCCCTACTATACTTTTAACCACAATTTGACTTGATTGATTGCACTGTTATTGGAAGTAAATTTATTTTTGCAAAGTTACCATTTTGTTTCAATCAAAGCAACTGGTTTCGTACGTTGAAACACTTAGATTCCTTAATCAAAACAGGCTATTTTTTATTTTAAAAACAAAAACAACAGCAAAATCAACAAGAATTTGTAAAAAATGATTTTCATCTTTACAGTGAAAATTTAGACAGATAATTCAAAACTTATTATAGAATTAGATTACCCTGACAAATTTAAAGTCTACAAACAAAAAATTGTATAAAGCTTTAACTGTTATGATGTTCTCTTAATTTGATTAAAAATCACTAAATAAAGTAATAAAAATGACGCAAAAAACTTTAAATCAATGAGGCAATCGCATTTTTTTGAGGAATAACTTTCAAAATATGTCAAAACGTAAAAAAATAATCCATTTTACTAAAAAAAATGCAAAATATAGCCATAATTCATTTTTTTTCAAAAATAAATGCAAGTGTTCCAATTAAGGCGCTGTTCCGATTTCGGCTAACCTTAATCTTACTTGAAATACCTATACTTGATTTTAAAGTTATTTTATTCAGACTCACTTTTTTCACTTTGGTTAGGATAATTTATATTAGGTAGCCTAACATTTGAACTGAAATCAAGATAAATACCAGCTATAACAACATTGAGTTGATCCATATTATCTAAAATCTTTGCCAGAAAAAGTGATTTGAAAAATATTTGATGCATTCTCAGTCTGGTAAACTCAAAAAGTTTAGGTTATTTTACGAAATCTATAGAAAACGGCCAGACTAGTTAATTACTATGACTATGCTTTCATACTTTTTTTTTACTAGTAAAATCATATCTTTTAGTTTAAACAGTATCATTAGGAAACAGTGTTAAAAAATACTTCCTTTTTTATTGATATCAACGCTGGTATGAGTATGTAAATATTTGTGCCTAAGCATAATTTGGTATCTAGCTATCAATGCACATCAAAGGTTTTGTACACTGCAGTGTATAAAACAAATGCATATGCTGTGAATCCCTTTTTATACTATATATATATCACCTCTATATCAATTAGCCGTAGCGCGCTTGCCTCTGGGCAAGCTTTATAACATCTTTAAGTAAGGAGGCGTTAACTTTCTTTCAAATGCTATTACGCGGTGATCTGTGTCAAGTCCATAAGGACTTCTTGTGGCACTTAAAATATAAAACTAAAAGAAAAAATTTTCTAAAAGGTATGTATGCTATAGACGATATATGTCATAAACACGATGCACCTTTTTCAGTAATTTTTCGCGTCACAGTAAGGTAGGAGGCGTGAACTTCCTGGTTAAATGCACTTCCGCGGTGCTCTGTGACAAGACCGTTTGGCCTTCTTGGGGCACCTAAATAACAATATACGCCGGAGGGCTTACCATACGCTACGTAGTTGAATACGTTCTTGCTTTTACTGGTTAACTTAACTGTCAAACAATTTTAAATTAATAAAATTATAGAAGTTAATAGTGGTTCATTAGAAAACGTAAATATACTGGTATAAAACTAAAAAAATCCTGAAGTTTAAACAATATTTACGACGGGCTGAACTCCGGGTAAAAACAGGGAACCAATACACAATAATGGGTTGTTGCTACTAAACTAACAATTTATAATAAAATATGTGTAAAAAAAAAAAGTAAAAAATAGAAAGGATAGATAATATACAATTGAGTTTAAAAAATTTACATAGGGTAACAAATCGGTGTCATTGGTGGACGAAGATGATCAAAGTTATACTAACTTAGTAAAACTTTAGTCTGGATTCTTCAGTAATTTTAGAAGATAGTGACGCACCTGTTCTTTCTAACCTTCTTACCTATTTCTTCTTCTAGAAGAAGAAATGGATAGATTAGGAGCCTCAGTTAATTCTCTTTTTTGTTGGTTACATTTAAATGAGCGTTTGGAAAATGCCTTAGAGTGTCCAGACCTCTGTTACACAGATCTTTTTTATTATTTATTTTTATAATGGCTATAAAAATATAAAAAATACAAAAAAAAAAAAGAAAGAAAGAAAAAGAAAATAGGTAATACAAAGCTCTATTCTTTTTGTTGTTGTTAATTATAATTTTCTATAGAATAAAAAAAATATATATTTAAAGTCTTTCATTAATTTAAAAGTGGTTGCTAGGGGCGTCGCTACGGATGTTTGAGTTTGAAAAAAAAAAAAAAATTAGATACCTTCTCTATTTTTTTTTAATATATCAAATTTATATTTAAAAATGATGGCAGCATTCTACATCACTTCGAAGACTGTTTGTTAGACGCGAGATGAAAAAAAGCGATTACTTCATAAAAATAACACAATTGACAAAATAAAATGCAACAGTTGCTTGCAAGATATCTTTACAATTTTTTCAATCTTAAAAAACTAATAAAAACATTTATTGTTTTTAAATTAAGATAATTTAGAAGTTAAAAGATTTTTTATTACTAAATATTATACATGGCAAACAAAACAAATTAAACTTTTTGTTTGAAAAAATATTTGAAAATTATTTTGAATGAAAGTTAATCTGACAAAATCTTTGTAAGAAAATTGAATGTTAATAACGAATATAAAATTTTCTAATTCCTCTGTATCTTCAAGAAATTGTTGACAGAGCCATAGAAATAGCTAAAAAACGATGGAGATGTTGTGTCAAAATGCGCATCAAAAGATTTGCAGCAAATTGAATCTTTTTAACCATGGTTAATTTAATAAATTAAGTTCATTTTAAAACTATCTTGAATATTAAATGTTTTGTGTAGATGTTTTGATTATTCAATGCCTTTATACTCTTGCGTGAAACGATCTTCGTGACGACAGGTAATGGTCGCCATCGTGAAAGCAAATCCATCCTAAATTTATAGTAAAACTTTATTCAAAAACTTTTTTCAAAAACAAATTTGTTTTTTTGTTAATTTAATAAGGATTTATAAATCATCAATATAAAAAGAATAACGGATAACATTAAATTAAAAAAATTAAACGATTTGAGAAATTATATGACCTTCCTATCACTCTGTCCATCAATTTATTTGACACATTTAAGAAAAAAATCCATATGCAAGGTTTTAAAAATATAGTAATTCTAAAATGCCGCGTCGCACCACTTTATTTTCTGCAGATTATTGCCATGCTAAAATGGATTTATGATTATGGTAACCAAATACGATTTGTATTTTATTGTTTAAAAAACATAGCCGATAACACAATATTAAAAATTAAACAATTTAATTTTAGTTCTATAATGTTATATATTTTATACTATTATAATATAAATATTTTTTAAATAATAAAAATTATAAATTAAATTATAAAAATTATATTGGAAAATGAGAATTTTTATATTTTAACCCACTTTGCTGTATTTAAAGCTAAACTCTAATTACATTTCACTATATATTTTTTATAAATATAAAAAACTGAAATATGTATACTAAGAAATAATAATATATAAAAAGTATATTATATAAAATATATACGCATGACTCGATAAAAACACGAAATTTAATGTTTACTCGTATTAAATTAATTTTTTTTGCTCTCTTACTCAAGATAATTTACCCTACCACTAATAAATAATAATATAAGGCTGCATTTAGGATATCTTTGTATATTTTATTAAACTTTTTCATATTTTATTCATAGAAAGAAGAGTTTATTATTCTGCATAAGGCCATTAAAAGTAGGCCATTAAAAGTCAAGTTTTAAAAATAGTGCTTTTTTAAATAAAATTTTTCCCTTTTTATTTTTTTTATTTTTTATATTTTTAAAAAAATATATATTTCAGCCAATTTCCTGAAGTCAACATGTTGGCCACTTTTGCTGACTGCGTGCTTGATTTTTTAATTGCAAGAGATAACTTAACAATTGCATGATTGATTAAGACTTTGCCTTTTTACATTATTTCTTCTCCTTTTTTTTCTTATTTGGACTCCTGAATTATTTTCTCCCCTTTTTATTTTTTAGCATATCATTTTTCTTCCTATCCTCAAGGAACTGTTGTCTTTATTATTCTCAATACACCAATGGAATTTTCTGAAATTGATAATCTATCCTTAGCTAGCAAAGCATTATTGACTAAAAAGCCTCGTTCAGTTTGGGCACTAGCATGAGATAATGTGAGAGCTGACTTAACAATATGAGATAGATTAATACATTTCTGTTCACCCAGGATATCTTTATTTCCAGAGACATGATGCCAATAAGTACAAATGTCAACATTCCAAGATGTTGACCATAAAATCCGTTTTAAATCTGTTTCCAAAGCATACATAACCCACTCTATGATAACGATACCCAGTGGTTATACTGGTAACCTTATTATTAAAAGCTATCAGTGCTTGATCGCTTCATGAGATCCATACACAACCTTTGCATGTACAACTTTCCTTGCTTAAATGTTTCCCATATGAATAAATACACTGAAAATTACTTAAGATTTTATAGGTGAAAGAGATTGCAAAAATGTGGCAGTAGCAATTAATGACTTTCTCATTGAAAATTTTCCCTGCTTACTTTTATCTGTGTCTAAACTACTTTTTACTCTAAAAGCAGCTATATTTTATATATTTATTTTTACTCTAAAAGCAGCTATATTTTATATATTTATTTTAACTCTAAAAGCAGCTATATTTTATATAGGAAAGTCAGGTAACTACTTGTTTTAAATCAAAAACAAATATCTTAACAAAAAAAATGCTGCTTTATGGAGAAACAAGTTAAGTTTGGTACTGCAAAGGATGTGACAAGGACTTAAAACTTATTGCTAATTAAGTAAGTAAATACTCTACCACTACACCAACATCCACATCAACTTCTTGTTTTAGCTTGTAACAGTTTTTCATCTGAACTTATCAGTTTGGAAAACAAATACAACTCTAGCAACAAAACTTAAAACCCAATCACATTAATTAACACACTAATTTAAGATACTTGATATTGATATACATTACCTGATTTTATAGAAATTTGGAAATAACTTCCCTGACTTTTCTAGGTAATTCTTGATTTTCTAAACTTCTTATATATTTACATGGTTTTCCAGAATTTCTCTAAGCCCCATAACTCTGATTGATATTTGTAAATCTATTGTAAATTTATTATAGATATTTATTGTAAATTGTATTTAAACTAAGCAAGATATTCAATGAAAAAATGAAGAAAATTTTTAAGAAGTAATTTTGGAAATGTGTTTAAATTTGGATTGAGCAAGATGTTCAATTCAATGAACAAAATGAAGAAAATTTGTTAGAAGTGATTCAGAGATTTGTGACTCTTTATGCTTTTTTCTTCAATTCTTACTTTTTTTAATTATTTAATTTAAAATACGCAATAAGATTAATAATTTAAAAATATTTATCAATTTCTTAAAACATCCCTTTATTGTTATTACAAACAACTCCTGGTAAGAACCATAAAATTGGTATTTTACTTTCTTTAAAAAAAAAAATAATAAAAAAAAAGCTGACCAATGATCATAAATTGAAAAATCACAAGATGCCATAATTAAGTTCGTGGTGATAATATTTTACAATGATGCTTTTTTATGACATTGGAAAAAAAAGTTCACTTTCTGAACTGTTTAAGGTAACTTAGAGTAACTTTATTATTAAAAAAATTGAAAAAACTTTATACTCTTTATAACAATGGGTGTTCAATTTTGCACAAATGTTAAAAAGGGTGTTAAGTTCTAAATAAATGTTTTCTATAATATTATTATGTCTTAAACAATCTTTCTAACCTCTTCTGTTAAATTTTCATATAACATCATTTTTCATTATTACATCTTCTATTAAGTATTGTTGCTTTATCGAGTTTTGATCAACATTTTTGCATTCTCATAGAATACAAGTTGATGAATTGATTTAGTTTACCAGTCATACTAATATACTTTCCCTTTCAGTATAGACCAAATGTATAAAGTCGTCTAAGCCTCTGGCCAATTGGCTAGTTTGGCAAATTTTCCTGTTTAGAAATTTTCAATCATGTAGTCTAAAACAAATAATGCATAATGTGAAGTTGCAAGATCTGATCAAAATACAATTACAACTTGAATTTTAAAACTTTTGAAAGAAATAAAACAGCCTTTCAGCTAAACCATCATACATTTTCTGATTGATTGCATTTCCGCTCTTGACAAAGTACAGTTCCAATTTATTTCAAAAGTTATTTCATCCTCTATATTTAAAATATTAATCTTAAATAGAGAGGATGAAATAACTTTTATCGTGATTTGTTGTTGGTTAATTACTTTAAAGTATTTTGAACTTCATTTTGCACTACGAATACTTATACTTTAAATATTTCTAATAAATAAATATTTAGCTTATTAAATAAATATTTAGCTTTTTAAATAAATATTTAGCTTCTTAAACAAATATTTAGCTTCTTAAATAAATATTTAGCTTTTTAAATAAATATTTAGCTTCTTAAATAAATATTTAGCTTCTTAAATAAATATTTAGCTTCTTTTATATTCATTACATCTTAATACTACTCTTTTAATCAATTTTTAAAAACTTTTTTTTGAATTATATGACTTTAAATCTTTTTACACATGCGAATTTGCATTTAAAATAAAAAAAAATTTTTTTAATAATTTTAAATAAAAACAATTTAAAGTTTGTGCAAAAACTTGGTGAACGCCAATCCTTTTTAAATTTTACTAAAACTTGGTGAACGCCCATCACTTTTAAAATTTTACTAAAAAAGAAACTTGAAATATATATTGATGTAAAACAAATAAAAAAATTGAAAATGTCAAATTTTTCAAATATATATTGATGTGTGTGTGTATTTGAATGTATTTAGTAAGTATGTACATGGTAGCAACAAAACCTTAACAAGCATATTTTAAATACCAAGACATTTATATCTTATTAAATTACTTTTTCTTTATTCATTTTTTTTTTCATTTATTGAATTATTACATTAACATTAGTGTTGTTACATCTAAAATAATTGACTGTCAATTAAATTGAATAATATACTTTCTAATGTTGACCGATATTGATTCATTACATTTTTGAAATCAACATTTTCGTCAGAAAACTTTAGATCAACTTGAATTTGACTTTTAAAGAAAAGTAAAAATCAAATATAGTAGAAAGAGTTTTTAAAAAATTATTAAAAAATTTAGCTTTAAAGAAACATTCGTTAATGAAACATTCAAAAAGTTTTAAGACTTCTTATTTTTTTAAAACATTTAAATGGAGAGGGACTGACATACCAATCATTTAAATGGAACGAAACTGTTATTAATATACAAAACAATGATTATAGCTAATCAAAACACACAAAAATGCTTGTGTTAAATAAGATATTTATAATTTTTGGCCAAGTGTAGTCTTATTATACATATCTATGTACTTTGTAGGCCCTTTTGACCCAGACTCAAAGTTACATGTTTCAAAGGCCTAATTAAAACAATTCTTATAATTAAAATAATTAAAAGTATTTTTATAAACCAATAAATTATGAAAACAAAGACCAATTTTAAATGTTTTTAAAAATATTTCATAATTTGAAATATTAGCTGTTTTCTTAATATTACATATTAAGAAAACAGTGAAAAAACTAACAATAAAACTAAATATGCCTACCATAATTAGATCTGGAAGTTGGGTCCAGAATTCTAAGTGAGGGATCAAAAATTTCCCCCTTTTTCCCCTTGCTAAATTGAACAGTATACCTAACAACATATAGAGCGCGAAACCTGGAATAACTCTGAAAAAAAAGTAAAAATTATAATTAACATGCAAAACAAATGTTACATTTTTATTTATCAAATTAAAAACCATAAACACTCACAACATTAGCATAAAGGAACCATTGCTTATTTTGCGTGACTTTGCATCATTTTTTGGAACAACATAACAAGCATTTGAATTGTTGAACACCATTGAATACTAAACATTATATAACCTGACTTCTTAAATATAAATATAACAAAAACATAAGTTACATTATATAAATTGATATCTTTAATATAACAATAACAAAAAAATAACAATTTAATATAAACTTATAAAAATAACCAAAAAATTTAAAACATCAACAAGGGTTACATTATATAACTTGATTTCTTAAAGTTGTCATGCTTTTATTGTGCATTAAAAATTTTTTTTTCACAATCAGAATTAATGTTATCGTATTAGTAAAATGATAGACAACAATACTAACAACATACATTTAACCTAACATAAATAGATCAGCATTGTCCTAATATATTTTGCACATTATTATCATTGTTGCTGCTGCTCAAAGGAACTATCATCTCTAGTTTCATCAACTGAAAACTCATTCTCGCTTGACTCAATATACATCAACCCTCGGAATTAGGAAAAATGTGGTCAGCAATAATATGCTGACCTCAATCTTTTAGAGGTCGGCATCAGGTCAGCAAAATAAAAATTGAAATAAAGGTCTTACCATAAAACATAGGAACGAGGTCGGCATTTTTTTGCTGACCTCAAACACTTTTAGGTCGGCATTTGGCAATGCCGACCCTAATTTTGAGAATTGATATATATATATATATATATATATATATATATATATATATATATATATATATATATATATATATATATATATAGGAAAACATGAAGATGGAAGAAAATTGGAAATGGTTAAGGTGCGGAGAAAACTAAAAGAGTAAAAAGAAACAGATACAGCAAAAGAACAAAACTTTGCTTAATGGCGAGTCAAGCAAGAATGAGTTTTGGGTAATGGAACTAAGGATGATAACTCCTTCAAGCAACAACCATGATAGTATGTGTAGAAAAGAGAAAGAGATGCAACTTTACGATGATGAGAAGGAGGCTCAAGCTTAGCAGATAGAGCAAATCCAACTACATTTACAATGTGTTTTTGGACCTTGTATAATTATTATCATTATCTATCATTATATTAATACTAATATTATTGTTATTATTATTATTTTTAAAAGCTAAAAATATATATATATATAATAAAAAATCTCCAAAGAAACACAAAACACCAAAAATGTGATTGAAATTTGTGAGAATTTAAGATATAAATCATAAATGTTATAACCATAAATTATCAAAGAATCATTTTGATTAAAAGCAAACAGAGTTTGCACAGACAAAAATATTTTTTCTACTAGTGTGACAGATCTTGTTTGCCTGCATCTAATAAAATTCAATAAATTTAAAGTTTCAATAATATTAGATCTAATATTAGAATTTTGCAGTACAAAATCTATAACACCAGACTCAATAAGTAATTGTAAGTTAAAGTTACACACATATATATATATATATATACATATATATATATATATATATATATATATATATATATATATATATATATATATATATATATATATATATATATATATATATATATATATATATATATATATATATATATATATGTAAACTAAAATTAGAAAAATTCACTACTTTGTATTTATGAATAATAGTTTACAATCATAAGGTCTTGCATATGAATTATCATTAATTTGCATGCCCTTATAGCAAATGCGTAAAAAAAAAAAGTTTTGAAAAAATAAAAGTTGATTAAATTTACCAAGCATATTTGATATATTTAATAATTTATTAACTTGAATAAAAATTATTTGAAAATAAAACTCCCTTATTAGACATAAATCACTTAAATTAAACGTTCATCAATAAATAAAGATACATAAGTCAATGTTCATTAAACAAAAACACGATTTGTTGCCCCCTGGGGTAGTTAAAAATAGTTTGTAAATGCAATTATTTCAAGATTATTGTAATTATTTTGTTTTCTTATATATGTAGGGTGCTTTTTACAGCAATGATATTGAATGCAAGCCAAAGAATGAAATAAATGTCTGAAATTTTTAAAAATCTTTTTGTAAAATATATTTATGCATTAGTAAAATAAATAATTTTTTTATTAGAATTTTATTTCCTCGATAAAACTTTGTAATGATTTTTTGATGGATTCTGTACTCATTTTGCCTTAAACTCTTATCTGAATATTTTTTTCAATGATCATCTTTTATTAAATTGCAATAAATTACTAGAGAAATTTTGTAACCAATTAAATTAAAAATCGCATTTATGTTTGTTTTGAACTTTTTAGCGCATTTTTTAAAAGAGCCAACTGTCAAAACTTGCAAAGAGTTGTTGTTAAGTTATCAAAACAAAGTATTATATGCGTGGTCATATGAGGCGCACAAACGCATGCTTCATATACAAAGGCCTGAACAGTGAATATATTTGTAAAAATTTTATCATGCAATACAGTGTCTCATTGAGTCTGGTAACACCAAAATCAATAAGTATATCTTTACAAAAGATTGATGTCTGGCAAACATTATAATTGTGGCTTCAGAATTCATAAACTGATGTATGAAGCACTTAATCATTTAAGGGTTTAGTTGTTTCTTGCTTAAAAGACCAAAGAAGGAGATGTTGAGATTTAATAATGCTATGAAAGAATGCTATGAAGAGCCAAAATTTGATGACTATATCCAAGATATTACTGAAAGTAAGTTCCAAGATATTAATGAAAGATATCAGACTTAAGTTTACCACAAATGTGCAAAATCTCAGTTGTTTTCTTTCTTGAGTAAGATATGTACTCTTCAAGAGTGGCAAATGTAGTAAAGAGCGGTTGCCTCCAACTTGGGATGCAATTTTACAAAATATACTCAGATGTAACTATCAAGCTTATATCTGGAAACATGCCACTATAATTCTATTAAATATGCCAAGAGTTTTGGAGCATGGTTCCACGATGGATGGTGACAAACTAAAGATAAAATCAAATGAAGAAGTGTATTAAATTCTATTAATAACGGATGTTGCAATAAAAAAATGATGTTGGAGTACAGAATTGACTTGTTACAATTTACATTAATGCACTAATTGTGTCAATAAAAAATCTAACCCCAAATACAGCGATGATACTTACAACATATTTATTTTAAGTGGATCTGATCCTGATATAATCAACTGTTGTAAATTTTAATGTTTTTAATATAATATAAATAATTTTTAAATATTATCAGGCTTTGTTTTTAAAAATGGCGCGTCATTTACATATGTACTATTTAACATAAGCAGTAAGCCATTTCACATTAGCCACTTATTATCATTTTTTAATATTTATACAAATCTAAAGATATAGTTTAAGTGATATGATAAAAGAAATAATTAACGTTATAAAAACCACTTATGAAGTTTGAATGACAATTACATAAAAAAAAAAATTGCATGACAATTACCTTAAATATTGGCGCTATTTACAAATGTAATAAGTTAAAAAAAATAAAGAAAATTTATTTTTAATAACCTAACTTTTCCATCAAAAATGCTAAGTAAAAAAAAAAACTAAGATGTTACACAACCCGCAAAAAATACAAAATCTTTCAATTATCATCTTGTAAGTAAAAAAATATTTATTTAGACATTTTCTCATAATAAACAATAACAAAAAAAAATTAATGAATTAAAAAATAAAATTATTATCTTTAAAATAGCACATATTAAATGTTATTTTATAATAGCACCACTTTTGATTTTTTAATTTTTTTGTTGTTTATTTAATTATGATGATTGATTTTATCAAAATAAAAAAGATTATTACAAACTTTAAATGACATCTTATAAAAAGTTTATTTTTTTTCTTAACTAAAAAAAAACTTCTTTTATGGATATAACTCTTTTTTTATGGATTTATTTTTTATTATTATTAATTTTTTAAAATAATATCTTGAGGGAGTTTAGATAACCTTTTTATCAAGAATAAATATACTTGATAATGTTATTGAGTATAAATATTAAATAACAAGGGTATCTTAACTCCCTCAATATATTGTAATGAAAAATTAGTAATAGAGTTATATTTATAGAAGATTTTTGTCTAATTATTACACATATTAAAGCTATAATATATACTAATATAAGTAATATATACTAATATATACTAATATAACTAATATAAGTAAATTTACTTACTTTATATAAGTTACTTTTAATTTACTTTACAAATATCCAATAGGGTGACAATTTTTTTGCGAAAAAAAAAGAAAAAAAACATATAACTGCATCTAATTATTTTCTACATCCCTGAGTGATATTAAAACTGTTTTGGTTTTGTTTTAAGGACTGGTATTAGTGCTAGATGTAGAAATCAGATGATTTTATAATTAATCATATAACTTTAAAATTTTCTTCGTTTGTCGTCAATATTTTTTTACTTCTTTAAAATGTATCAATTGGAAAAGAAAAAATGTAATTTAAAGTTTAGTTTTTCATTCAATGAATAGAACAACATTGGATTGCAAAACGCTTTACAGCAGTTTTGAAGATTTTAAAACTGTTAACAAAACTACTAATAAAAAATTGTGCATATAGAAAAAAAGTTGTGGTAAACATAGTTTCAGATAAGGTTTAATACCGGTATTATTTATTTTAAATTTTTAAGATTTAAATTTAATGAATTGTTTTTAAAGTAAATATAAATAAAAAATAAACATTATTTATGTTATAGCCAACATATAGAAACAATCAAGTATTGAAAAAAAGGCAAAACTAATGGGTTACTTCGAAGACATCAATATTTAATCAGCAGTAGATAAAACGTTTTAAAAGTATTTACGATAATTTTTCTTGTCCTATGGGATCAAATTTTAACCCGAAATTCAAAGGAAAAACAATGTATTATCAGGAACATGGAGATTTGTGTATTCTTAGAAAAATAGTGAACTAGGAGTCCTGTGGTTTTAAAAACTATATTATTGGAGAGGATAAAATATTATCAAAATTTGTGAAACTTCACAAAAAATGGGTACCAGTGACCAAGGGAAAGTTGCTATTTTGGAAAAATGATACCAAAAAAAAGCTAGTTGAAGAATTTCAAGCAACCATGGTGACTCTTTTTT